CTTCTCGTGTTTTAACAAATTGACAACAGGTTGATAACGAAGAGATCACCTCTGACCGACTCTCATTTACATATTTTACCAAAACTGGACGATACAGTGCGATTAAAAAAGTTTCGTAATTTAGATACTGAATAAAACAATTCAAATATACAGACTGATTGAGACATTCGGATCTCAAAGTGATAATAGACTGAAAATTATGTACCACGAAGAAAAAGGAGAACCACAGTTGACTACGTACTAATTTTCTTGCGAATGTCATAGCATGCTGCCAGCATATTTTGAGGTTATGATTAATTGTCACGCTAATATCAAATTTTAACAATTGCACAATGTTTAAATAACAATGAAGTGAACTGTCACATTTTTGGCGTACAACCTTGTAAATAAAAAATACACATGAATTTATGTAACAAAAATTAAAAAACATCTTTCTGTCTAGACCTAAATTTGCTAAACTATGCAAAATATTCCACTTCAAAAAATATAAATAAGACATATTTTCAGATTCAGATTAAATTCTCCAGTTTTGTCGAAACTGACACCCACATCATTTTAATACGTCAACGTTAGCTTCTTCACAATTGTCTTATCCATAAATGGAAGACATTAAAGTCTTAATATATTAATGTGACTCATTATCCATTTTAATTATCGTTATTTATGAATTTCAAAACCATAATCACTATTTCCAACTACATCTCCCTTTTTTGAATCGCACTGTACTTGCTTTATATTTAAAACATTCCACTTAGGAAAGATTTAACAAAATTATAGTACGATTTGAGTCACAGGGTTATAAAAAAATGTAGCAGCCATTTCACTTTGAAGTAATTTTAGCAAAAAATAACGACTTTGTAACACTTTCACACACACCCGAAAGTACTATTGTACTTGTGAAACAGCTCTAAATTTTTAATCACCCTCTAGATTTCCCTCATCCCTTCTACCTTACCTAACCTCACTTTCACTGTCACCGAACCGCGACTACCACAACTCCTCGTTTGTCTTCATGATTTCGCGCAACAATTACAAAAAAACCCAATTTTTTATTTCCCTATACCGATCACCGCCTCGTCCATAAGTTCATCGTCCGTTATACAGGGCGACGCCGAATGAGGACTCGGCGCTATAAGAGGGCTGGGAGCCGGCGACTTAACTATATGAACACTGACGGAGGGAGACTGAGGAAACGTCATCGGTCCACTGACCCCACCACCTTTCCCCTCCATTTTATTACCGCGCGAAAAATCCAGAAGCACGTCACCGTCGTTCTTCGCCGACTTCGTGTCTTTTTTATCGTCTTGGGGGCGGGCGCTACGAATTTCGCCGTCAAATCGATGCTTTTGTTGTAAAGATTGAGCGGCTCGGGAATGGGAGGGAGAACCGACTTGGGCACTGTGATTGGATAGTTAATTTTGTAGGCGGAGTCGTCCTTGTTCTGGGTGAGGTTCTGCGGCTGGTCTTTCTTGTCTTCTTCGTCTTTCACTTTCGGACTAAAACTGGGCAAAGGGAGAGTGTTGGTCACGTTGTTTCGGAGTTTAGGGTCCAAGGAGTATTCGAAGGTTTTACTGCCGGGAATCGCAAGAGGATTGAATTTGGGCAAAGAGAGGTCGGTTTTGTACATCATGTCGAAGATCTTCGTGTCGACAGTCCGATTGATGTTGTTCATGTTGTCGGAAGTGACTTTGGGTTTTTTGTCGTCGACGGATGCCCGTGCTGATAGTTTGGGAATTTGGAAGTTTTTATCCAGTTGTCTGACAGTCATTAAGCCTTCGACTATATAGAAGATGGGTGAGGGTCCATCTTTGACATTTTGTAAACTCCATCCGACTCGTCTCGGTTGGAAGTTGGACTTGATTTGCGACCATCTTTCGACGAAAAAATCGACTTTTCTGAGCTGCTTTTGTTTAGTTTCGGTCGGTCTTTCCGACTTAAGTCGGTTGCGCTTTTCGGTGAACCAGTTAGTTTGGAGAGTCACTTTGAAGTGCCGCCGCTGGATACTTTGGCACCGGATGATGGAGCTTTACTGCTTTTCATGCTCCCGGAATAGTTTGTGCTTCCACCGGTTGAGTTGCTAACGTTGGAACCGGAAATCTGCTAAAATGAAAAAAAAACAATAGCATTTTTACGTAATTCACGACCTTTAAGTTTCTTGTTGTTTACTGTGAGATTTTTTGTTTGACTACTTGATTCTTATTCTTAACGCCACTGCGTCGATCACCTTAAATTTTGCTTATAAAGTCGTTAACCGCCGCAGGGCCGGCTTAACACGGTAAGCGAAAGATGCACCGCATCGGGGCGCCCATGACAAGGGGCGCCGGGCGGAAGGCGGTGCCTATGCTTTTGTGTTAACTCCATAGAAATAAATTAATAGGAGTATTTGATTTGCATTGAATCACTACGTACAAAATATTATAGCAGGAACAGAGGAAGGCGCCCATCGAAAACTTTTCAGGAAAAGCTACATTTTAACATTCTACTATGGGGAGTGGTTCACCAAAATAGGTCATAAGAAGTCAATTCCTGGCACTTTCTGCCTGTAATAATTGAAAAAGAGTGCGCCTTTGGGGTGGGTGATTGGACCTTTAGATCATTACCGACAAAAAATACCAGATTTATGATTGCCATTATCTGGGTAATAATTTGACGAGACAGCGGTATGACCAAAACCAGATATTTTTGTAACATTTGTCAAGTTTGTTTGTACCATAAAACTCCTTGTCGGCACAAAATTTTATTTTCCAAGTCTAGTCGGCTGGTTGCGGTGGTTGTTCAGTTTTGTTATATTTTTCAGTGTTTCGATTCGTAGTCGAATTTGGTTCTGTGTATCATTCCGTGGCTCTTTGTCATCACTAATTTTAAATTTTAATTTCGAATAACATTGAGGTAAGTCTAAATTAAAAATAACTTTGAAATCGTATCAATTTTACAATATTATACTTATACTAGAAGAGTTGTCCCGCAGCTCCGCTTGGGTGGATTAGGACACATCATTTTTCGTCCCATTAACACTCCCCCCCCCCCCCCCCCCCCCGTGAACCCCTCTAACTAAAAACTCACGGGATTCCTTACATAAATCTTCATCCCCTATTTTGTCCTATTGGGACGGAATTTCCAAATATGCTTTCTCAATGGGTGCTTATGACACAAAACAAAAGGAACCTATGTTTGTAGTTGCAGTAGTGCAGGCTTTGCGTTGATGAATCAGTTGGTCTATTAGTCAGGACAAACACTTTTATATACAGGCTGACTGCGAAATACATGCAAAAAAAATGGGGAATATGTCACAATATGATTATGTCACTGGCAAAAATTGACGGTCCTAAGTGGTAGCAGTGTCTAGAAAAAATTATTTGAAATTAAATGTAAATTGTTATACGCACCGCTGGTAATGTTTCGTGACCTACATAATTACTGCAATGAATGGGTAGGGGACTCGGAGTAAGAACCAAAAAAGTAACTTTATCAGGCACTTTTTTAATCGCAACGTGAAAAACACGAAAAGGGCCAGTCATTATCGAGCGGTCGTTGAAATTGGTGTATGGTCCAGTTTTCCAACGCAGAGTGTGTCGATATGGTGGTACAGCATCTCCGAGATCATGGTACCTTCAACCTCAAACTCACGATCGTGGTCGTGATGGGGCAGAAAGGAGAATTTGGATTTTCGCAGCTTGTAGTGCATCCTACATTAAAAGAACACGGTCACATCCATACCATGTTGACAAAATGCACGGTTTGGAGCCCGCTAATTGTCCACGTTGTGTAACTCACTTTTTGTCCGATGGAACTCCACAAGTCGTCAACAAGTACGATTTCAAGAGACGGTTTTCGAGAAACGTGTATTGGTTGGATGAAACAATTCGTTTGTGGAAATCAACAGTGTCCAGAAATTATCGAAGAGCTTCAACAAGTGAAAGTGGCAGCCGCTACTCCGGTATTTTTTTACCTATCAACAAACCTCTTGCGATGCTCTGACGCCTGCATTGCTAGTCAAGGACAACATTTTCAACATTTCTTGTAAAAAGGTAGTAGCATTCTAAGTTGCTCTTATTTCTGTTCCAATAAACAATGTAAAATCGTTGTGCCAAGGATCAAACATCCGTCAGAATCAAAATTACCAAAAAACTTTCACACTGACCTTTAACGATGAATGAGTAAATGAATGAACGAATGATAAGCAGCAAAAAGTCGGTTTTACTTTTAATTGAAACTGAAAGTGTTTAGGTCGTTTTTATTCGAACGTTTTTCCAACTCTGTTTACAAGGTGGCTCAGTGCCTTCGTATCGAGGGTGGTTCATGGGGGTTTTGCCCCATTCGATTTTTAATTTGTTTTTTCGATATTTCGGCTCTACTAGGGTGGGGGATGCCGTGGTTAAAATATTTGCATATATTTCGCAGTAACCCTGTATTAAGATTGGTCCCTCATAATTTTATGTATGTTTGTTAATTAAAAGTATCTCTACAAAAATATGTGATTACAAAATTTTGTTTGTTTTTTTTTTACAAACAATTTTTAAAGGGCGTTGAACAGTAAGTTGCATCTGGGCGCCTGGTCCCTTAGAGCCGGCCCTGAACCGCCGGATACTGACTATGATCTCTTAATCTAAAGCTGCTAGCGTTATTTCGATAGTTTTAAACTTTTAAACAGCCAGAGTTCGCCAGAGTGTAAAAACTGGCGCCTGACTTGCATGCCGCTTTTGCTACCAACAGTGTCGAAACCGAGTAAGAAATGGGACAATCTAGCTTCAGCCCAACAAAAAATCTACAGTCACATTTTGACCTAAATGTTGCGGTTTCTTCGACGCCGGCCCACTATTCACCCCCGGCTTCAGCCCAGTGTGCGTCTTCGGCGACCCCGTCCCAGATTTACTCACACTCGTCTTACTGTCCTTACTCCTCGTCTTATTAATAGTGATCTTCATCCCGTCCGAACTCGGTTTAACCATGTACTCTGAGTTCTTCGCCTCCCCTATCTTCCCACTTTTAGAGGTCTATTTTGTAACTCTTAACGATCTCGCTAGACCATCGTTAACTTACGATAATCGTTCCCATAACGATTTTGGGACTGATAGCGATTTTGTAACATCTATCGTCTCGTTACATAGCGATCGTATCGTTAGAATGTCATCGTTCCGGAACGATAGGTTTCAGCTCACCGTTAGAAGTGTCAGAACACGTTAGAAAAGTATTTATACAATGAAGAGGAACGTTTTGGTGCAAATATGGGTAGAGAAGGTAAATGTAAGTAATTAATGTATGTTTGGATTAGGTTGATAACTTATTATAGGTATATTTTTTTTACTGCAGAGACAGAATGAGAAATTTGTCTCGGGTCTTAAGAGATGTAAACGACCCCTTGATCGTTCGAGAAGAAACCTTTAGGAAGACCTACCAACTGTAATGGGAAGCGGCGAGAGATACATTTCCAGAAATACTGCCGCAGAGTTCTGTATTATTCACCAGAAGTTGCAGGAAAAATTACATACTCATGTGCTGTTTCACACAATCTTACGCATAAGAAATATCGAAAATGACGAGATCAACATTGTCTATGACAAGGAGAACGATAATAATGAAGAACTTGAATATGAAGAACACAATTTACTACATGAATGGCATATCACAAGAAATAATTTAATAATACAGCATTTTCAATAATGTATTTATTATTTTTTTTACAACATAATGAAATTATTAAACAGTTCCTCTTTCACATAGTCTTAAATTTCTGGCCTTCTTTCAAACATTGAATTTCCAATCTACAAATCTCTGGAACACACAGTGACGTTTACTTACCAGGCAGTACATTGTAATTAGAGTGCCCTATGTTATATTCTTGGTGTACTAAAAAACACAGAGGTTATGGTTTATTGTGTAACAGTATTTATAAAGATTAAACATATCAGTTCTCATAATTGATTGGTCATGACTAAACAAGATGTTCACTTTGTCATAACCAAAGTGTTGATGTAAGCAGAATAATTGCTAATAGTTGTACGATAAATTATAGTAAAGTACACATTTTTAAAAAGAGTGTTCGGGAGATTCATTAATTACACATACCTCTCTGAACTGCTGAAAACTTTTTTGTGGTCCTCCCACAGAATTTAGTTTTGCTATCAACCCTTCCCATATCTTTTCTAAAAGATCTGGCTTGTCCGCTACGAACTTTTGGGCCCTAAAATCTACATTACCTTCTAACTCCTCCACATACAACTCATGTTACTCTTGGGTAATACGCTGGGCCCTTTTACGTTTTTCCATTGCTCCCGTGAACGTATTGTAAACTGAATTTCGTGTTAGTGTGATTATTTTGATGTTTTTCTTTTATAATTATTGTTTACTTACATGTTATAAGTTCACAAATTTGTCCAAACTTCAATCAGTAGCAAAACAAATGTCACATGTCACAACAGAGAACAACGTAATCTAGACGCTACACAAATTTAAATACTACCGATTCTAAAAACATTAGATTCATCGTTCCGCTAACGATTTCAAAGCTTTACGATTACGATAGTGTTTATAAAATTGGAAATTTGTACAATCTCGCTAACCTGATTTTACGATTGCTTCTAACGATTATCGTTTGGGAACGAGATCGTTCTGGAGCGATAAATTACAAAATAGACCCCTTACTCTCGTTCAGCTTCGTCGACACCTGCCCGCTCCTCTCCCTGTTACCCCCACCACTCCCACTCCCCCCACTCGACGACTTACTACTCAAGTCCGTGGCACCATCACAGTGTTGCGCTGACGATTTCAACTTATCTACGATCGCCGAAAGCGATCCCTTTCTGTTTCTAACCTGGTTCGAGTTCGACGATTTCGACACGTCCGTCGAACTAGGGGAAGGCAGCCCATCTTGGACTCCGCTCAACGTGTCCGCGTTCAAATCTAGCGGTTTCACTTTCACGGACGACTTGTTTTTTGACGCACTCACGTTAAACACACCCGACATTTTCTTGTCCTTGTCCCTGGAAGAGTCCTTGGAAGCGGATTTCGTTTTCGAGTCGCTATTTTTACTACTGGGGGAGTTGGCGGCGCTCTTCAAGGTCGACATGCTGGGTTTGCCCGAGCCGCTGGCCGAGGGATGCTTTGGGGAGGTGCCGTGGCTCTTCGGATGGATTCTACGACAACTGGTCGCAAACAATTGATCGCGCGACAATTGATCGCAAGCAACTCGTCGCAGCACAATTGGTCGCACGCGACAATTGATCGCGGCGATAATTGATCGCAGCGACAATTGATCGCACGTAAACTGATCGCAGCGACAATAGATCGTACGTAAATTTATCGCAGCGTCAATTGATCGCAAGGTAAAATTCATCGGGAAGTATTTTCTTTTATTAAAACTAAATATTTAGTATTCTGAATTTTCAGTTGCAATAAATTTAGCAATCAGGTAAGGTGTAAATATCGAATTAAAAACAATTTGAATATAGATAAGTAACGAAGTTTGTAGTTGCACTTTAAAAATTAAAAAATACGAGCGTAAACACCTTGTTACATAAGATTTTTTATTAATAAATTGTCATTTTGGTTATTTTTTTTAAGAGATTGTTATTATTTATCTCGTTGCTTATTTTACCTATTATATTATAGGAACTAGCTTCATTATAATACTAGTACTCAACATAAAAAGTGTTTATTGTTCTTAACTAGATTACAATTATTTAAAAAATCATATTTTTAACAACCTTTAAATTTTAACACATTTTGATGCAAAATTGCCTCTATTGTCTATTCTTGTCTTTATACATATCACCAAACAATAAAATTTATGAACTAATAGTACATCTAGAGTATCCATATGCAGCGAATGTAAATTCCCCTGGACGGTTATAATACTTATTTTAATCCCTTGTAAATTGCAACGGATCTTTTACAGGGTTTGAGAAAGGTTTATGTGTATTGTAAATATATATTGCAAGAACTTTTGTTAGAGCGTCAAGAATAATTTTTTGTTACCGGGAAATCTAAGAAATGTAGGTACTTATGCAACTAAAAACTTACTTTTTAATTATTATTATGTGACTAGTATTGTACTGAAGAAAAATTTAGTTGTACCATATGTGGGTGTAAAAAATACATATACAGGGTTAGTCACGAGAAAATTATTTCTGAAAATTATTTTCACGCAACTCAAAATACGAATACCATGTACCACTTGATACTAACTGAATTTAAAATGAAATGCTTAATTCATGATTGCTTTGAGTTTGGCAATGTCATTTTGACAATTCTGGAAAAGGAGGTTACGCGAGTGTCCATGGTGGTACCGCAGCCAGTTGGAGATCTCCACTGGCGCCGCTAATAAGTTTGCAGGGCTTGCTTCGAGTGCCTCTTGATCTTTTGCAACCGATTAATGACGAGAAAATTATTTATAAAAATTCCTTTTACGATAGACATTTCTGCAACGTGTAAAACAGATCTCAGATCTAAAAAAAAGGAAGAAATAATTGGTTCGCAGTTTTCCATGAATGACCCTACTAGGGGCTGCTACCTGATTTTATTCTTCTCCGCACTTTGCATCCTACAAAAATTTACAACATGGGTTGGAGAAGCCCACCTACATCCGGTAGATTAGGCAAATAATTCTCAATGAATAGTCGGCCTTCCGAGTGAAATGTCCCTCAATAAACTTTTCGAACTTCCCAAGCTTTTTACGTTTTAACGGTATTCACTGTTTGTATTATTTGTTACTCGTGATGTATTGAATGATTTAAATATTTTAAATAATATTAATTAATAGAGAATATAAATCTGTTATGTGCCTTGTTTTATTCAACAAATTTTATTCCATGAGCCACTTCAAAAAAAAAAACTGTACGTCACTGTCATCGGCAGTCTTATCTGGGTAATGAGGGGTACTGTTTACGACACTTTACCGGTTTGGCTCGAAACCATCATTTTAAGTCTAGCACTTCCTCCAGTATGAGTATATTTCTTTGCTCCATGGTCAAAACTAATCTTTTTACGATCTTGTTTACAGAAATGGCGTAAAAGTGGAGATTGGTATGTAGGTACTTAGCAAAGGGAACGAGATAAATTATTCATTCTTTCGTATCTACGAGCGCCTTATTAACAGTGTGAGCGTTCAAAAAAGTTCTGAATGAAAAAACATCTTTGGTTTTATCTTGGATTAAAGATAATCTAGAACTAATTTGTAGTGAGCAAAAAATTGTCTGCAAAGAATGCAATAAACTCCAAAATTAATTGTTAATATATAAATTCAAATTTCTTTGCACCAAATTTATTAAAAAATATATATATTTAATTTTTTAAACTATCAAACGTAATGAAAATAATACTTTTTCACTTAAAACTGTAACGAGAGTTTTTTTAAGATTTATCTATAACATTTTAATTTGACAGTTGTAATAATTTTAAAACCATTTTTTATTAAAGAAAAATGACGTCTAACACGTTTTGAAAGCTATTTTTTTCACTCGTTTAATTGACAAACCTTAAACTTGTGAGAAGAAAAGCTTGAATCACTTACTTGAGCGTCTAATCAATAAGACGAATAATTCAAATAAACATTACAGTAGCATACCGACGAGATGTGTCAGCAATAAAAAAAATATTTTACAATATTTTCACTTTTTTGCACTTTGGTTTAGTCGGAAATGAGCCTAATAGTTACTGTTTTTATAGAACTCGTATGTATTTATTTTGACACTTTTTTTTAGAAATAATGAAATTTTTGAGAATATAGCACATTATTTTATTTTCCTCATTCATAACAATTACTTATTTCTCTATAAACGCTATCGTTTTTCGCTTGCGATCAATTGTCGCATGCGACCAGTTGTACTTGCGACGAATTGTGTTGCGATCAATTGTGACTGCGACCAGTTGTCGTTGCGACCAGTTGTCGCTGCGACCAATTGACGCTGCGATCAGTTGTTCGCGATCAATTGTCGCGCGACGAATTGTACACGACGAATTGACGCGGTACCCTTCGGATGATGTGCTTGGGGATGATGTGCTTGGGGCTGCTAGGCACGTGCGCGGGACTGTGCTTGGGGCTGTGGTGGGAGGAGCCCGTCTTGAGGGTGGGCTTCATCAGGTTAGGGCTGAGCTTGCCGCTCATCGACAGGCTTCAGTTCTGAGTGGGCGAGGCGTTGAACTCATGCTGGGACTGGTCGGCGTGCTCATGTTGAGCGGAGGGGATTCGGCCGGTTTGATGCTAACGGTTACCGGTTTGGTTAAGGGGTCCTGCTTTGGGGGGACTTTCTCGGGCGGACCCATAGGGATCTCGTCGCGTTTGCGTTATCTCTTCTTTTCGATGCTTCCCTTAAAGTTAGAAAGGGATAATATAGTAACAGTACGAAAGAAGGAAAGACATGCGGCGGCAACGAGGCTTCGTCTTCTTGGAGAATTCGTCCACTGTAAAGCGACAACACACACAAGCAAATAAAAATACCTAAGAGACTAGAAGCAGAAAGTTCTTTTATTTCTATAACAATATTACAACTACACCCACAACCGAAATAAATACGAATCAACTTCTCTAACCTTATCGTCCGACCTGCTTTTGCTGCTCTTCTTTTCTTTGTTCTTCTCTTCGCCACTTTTGCTTTGTGACGACGTTATCGGCGTTATGGTGATGGAACTGGGCAGTGCGTTAGCGGCGGAAGTCGCCAAGGCTATGATTTCTATTCCGGTTCTCTTCTCGGCGTTACCGCCTGAGGTGAATCCCGGCGAACTCGTGGCGATGGGAGTGATGCTGACGCTTGGAGGTACCAAATTCTTCTCGCCTAAATCCATCATGAGATTAGTGGGCGATTTTTGGTCTCGAGATTTTCGTCTAGAAGGGCCAGCCAGGATTTCCTCTACGTCGCCTAATTCGTCCAGACTTCCGAAATCACCACTCACCTAACAACAATGACATTACGATGAGGACAAATAATGATTTTTATTAAAACACACATTCGCCACAGTTAAAAAATTGGTCGAAAGTTGTTTCGACAGAACTTCCCTTGCCCTTGAAGTGAACAAATCCCCCTTTTTTGAAAAATTATAAGAATTATTTGCGATTTTTCTTTTCCGATAACCTCTATAAAGTAAGAACCCATAATGACACCAGTTACACGAATGTTTTTTGAGTTTTTAATATTAATTTTTCAGTTTTTCAATTTTCCAATTTTTAGATTTTACAACGTTACGATTTTATAATTTTTTGTTTTTCAATTTTAATTTTTTCAGTTTTTGGTTTCTTCAATTTTTGCGATGTGCAATTTTTCAGTTTTTCGTTTCTTCAGTTTCTAGATTTTGAAACTTTAATTTTTCCTTTTTTCGATCTGATTTTGATCAATTTTTGGATTTTTCAATTTTCCGAATTGCAATTTTTCTGTTTTCAATATTTTAGTTTTAGATTTTTTAATTTTTCTAGTTTTCATTTTAAATGTGTAATAATAATAATAACTTTTATAATATTTTACTTTTTCAAATGTTGTAACTTTGGAGTTTTTCCATTTTTCAGTTAATGGATTTTAAAACTTTTCCTTTTATTCGACTTTTCGATTCATTATTTTCCTTCAAATTTTCGATTTGCAATTATTCGCTTAGGTTTTTTATTTTCTCTGTTTTTTTTTTCAATTTTTCGTTTTTTATATTTCAAATTTTTTCCACTTTTCGTTCATTTTTCTTTTTTTTTTTTGTTTCGTCAATGTTACAATATGTAACTCTTCGAGTATTCAATTTTTCATTTTTCACTTCTTCAACTTTTAGATTTGCTATTTTTTGTTTCGGTTACTTTCTGTTTTTTCAATCGTTTGGTTTTTCAAATTGTGATTTTATAATTTTTCTTCTTTCTGTCTGAAATTGATCAATTTTTGGATTTCTCAGTTTTTCAAATTGCTATGTTTCGATTTTCAATTTTTCACTTTTAGAATTTTTGAATTTTTCGTTTTTTCTAGATTTCGTTTTAAATGTGTAATAATAATCAAAATAATAACTTTTAAAATATTTCACTCTCTCAATGCTATTATTTTAGAATTTTTCCATTTTTCAATTACATATTGGATTTTAAAAATTTCTTTCAATTTATTCGACTTTTCGATTCTTCAATTTTTTTATTTCTTCAAATTTTCGACTTTTCAATGTTCTGATTTTATAATTTTTTGTTTTTTGAATTTAAATTTTTTTCAATTATTCGTTCAATTTTTCTTATATTTTGTTTCTTCAATTTTACAATATGTAACTCTTCGAGTTTTTCATTTTTCGGTTTTTCATTTTTCACTTCAACTTTTCGATTGGCAATTTTTGGTTTCGGTTTTTATTTTCGTTGTTTTTTCAGTGTGCTGATTTTATCATTTTTATTCTTTCGGCTGTCAATTTTTCAGTTTCAAAATTGTTAATTTTTCGTTTTTTCAATTTTAGATTTGCAATTTTTCTAGTTTTTGTTTTAAATGGGTAATATATTAATAATAATAATTTTTAAAATATTTTACTTTTTCAAAGTTATGATTTTAGAATACTTCCATTTATACTTCTGCGACGAAATTCCGGATGGGAGGGACGGACGGTCGGTCCGGTGACGGTCCGGAATCTCGTCGATAACGTATGGGGTGGCGGCGTACTTGGGTGCCAAGCTTTGGGTCGACTAGTATCGCTGATGTCAGAAACACGTCTGGTCGACCAAGCTTATGCGGCTACCTTCACGCCGCCGGGGGTGGCGCCCAGTGTTGGGGACAGATACTTTTAAAAGTATCTAGATACAGATACAGATATATGGAAGATAAAAGTATCTAGATACAGATTGTTTTCGATTTTTTCGAAATGTATCTAGATACAGATACAGATACTTTTTGAAGCTTTGACGAATTGAATTGAAAACGTGAACTCAACGAGTGAGCAGTGTACCCTCTCTCCAGACGTATTTGCTTCTCCCGGTGAGCCCGTTTCTTGCTATTTTATTAAATTTGGCTAGCGAAAAGTTGTAGAATCTAAGAGTTGGTTGCGCTAAACAGCTTCAACCCTTAGTGAAGGGGAAGCAAATTACATGCTTCCCCATTAATTCGGTACTTGAGTTTTTGTCTCTCGCTTATCTTGGAAGTGCTGATAGGTTCTCCCTCTTTTTGCATTGACCACAGTAACAGTCTGTACTGCTCGCCTGTCCGGCGCAGCGGTATACTGACAAAGCTTAAACGAACGAGAAATCAAAATGGCGACTTCGGCGCCGCAATTCCCAGCTAAAGAACAAGCGATAGTTATGAACGCTGTCGACGACTTAAAACTCACAGACTACGTTGTCGCTATAGGTAATATAGTGCAACCAAAAAACATTATTTTTGCCTCGCGAATTTCAAATGGCCGTATTTGCATATACATGAGCTCTAAACTGTTGGTTGATCAAGTAGTTGCTGATCATCCGGTGATCACAATTAAAGATTTTGAAGTCAACATAAGACGTCTAATGAACCCGGCACGTCGCATTATCTTTTCAAATGTATGTCCTTCAGTTCCCCACAACGTTATAGAGAATCTTGTTCAAACCCTAGGTTTTACTGCAGGATCGAAAATGTCATTCTTAAGAGCGAGTATTGAAGGTGACGAATTTAAGCATGTGCTAAGTTTCCGAAGGCAAATCTACATTCAGCCTGATGACTCTATTAACCTCCCTTCTTCCATGGTCATAAAGTGCGATAACACGAATTACAGGATCTTTCTTAGCTATGATGATGTTTGTTTCAAGTGTAAAGTCTCAGGCCATTTCGCTAGTGACTGTCCAAACCAAACTGAACCCACTGACCAAACGGATACTTCCAACTCGTCGACTCCTCTGGATTTGGCTGTTGGTAAATCTCGTGCTTTAGACGACCAATTGGAGACTTCTAATCTGGTTACCCCCTCACCTTCGACTACCGCGAAGCGCTCTGCCCCTGATGAACCTTCGATTGAATTCATTCCCCCTGATCAACCACAGCTAAACCTTGATGACACAGACCAAAGTGTACGGGGGAAAGAAATTAAACCTTCCGATTCAACCGAAAGCCTTACTCCAACATCTGAAATACTAGCACCCGCTGAACAACTAATTAACAATGCTCACTACCCTCTCACCTTCGAGGAGACTGTTGCCTTTCTTGAGAAGGCTGTTGGAAAACCGGATATACTAAGTCTTATTAGGGAATATACTAATGACATTTATGGTGTTCTTATAATGCTTCACGACATTTACCCTCTTGTGTCGCACAAAAACTTGAAAAATCGATGCAAAAAAATTCAAAAGAGAATTAAAAAAGCCTTAAGTTCCCTGCCAGAGGAACATGGCACAGATCTATCCGGTCTGTTTCAGACTCCCATGACGTCCGCTTTGTAAACATAATTTACTGCAGTATCCTACACTTTCGGTTTTTTCTTATAAGGTTTTTAAATTCTTATAACCCCTATTAAAATTCGATTCCCATTATAATAAAAATACTCTCTTCCCACAGTTCTTTAAAAATACTGTATCTGTTAAATATTTTGTTGGCAATTTAGTATACACTAATATAGCTTCCCTGATGGCAAAATATGACGACTTCTCTGTGCTGGTGGAATCTTTGAAACCGACTTTTATAATGTTGTCAGAGTCGTGGTTAAGTCCTGCGATTCCTGATACATTAGTGGCTATAAACGGTTACACTCTTTTTAGGAACGACTTGATTTGTTCCAGTTTCACAATTAATATCTTAAGCTCGGAAGTCGGCAATAATGAAGCACTATTTCTCAAATTATCGAACAGTAGTATCTCATTTGTGTTAGGATGTATATACAGACCCCCAGACTCTGCAATTGGTGATGATAGAAAACTCTTTACGTTTGTGTCAAAAATTGCCGATAGCTGCGACAGACTGATTATAGCGGGAGACTTTAATTTACCTGACATAACCTGGCCTCTTGATCATAACGCTAATTTTGACGCTCCTTCCCAGTTGTTGTGTGATGTACTGATAAACAGTCATCTAGAGCAAATTATTACTAAACCGACCCGTTATAGAACGAACCAAACACCGTCAACCCTCGATCTAATTATTACCTCGGACGATAAGTTACTAGCAAACTTGGATTATCTGGATCCTGTTGGTAAATCTGATCACGTGGTGTTAAAGGTTGAAGTGCAAATCTGTTTTGAAAGACGAAGGAAGATTACCTCTACTTGTAGGGTTATTACGAATTATGAGCTGGTCAACAGAGATCTGTTCAACACTGACTGGTCCACCATTCTTGTGGAACCATCTGTAGAAGACAATTGGACTAGATTTAAGAAACAGCTTAATTCTGTGGTGACCAAACACACAGTTTCCGTAGTAAGAAAACAGTCTTCAAATAAACCATGGATCACCAAACAGATTCTCAAACTTATTAGAAAAAAGAGGGCGCTGTGGCGGTTACAAGCGCACTGGTAGCGAGAGTGATTACAAGGCACACAGAGTGTTTTCAAACAAAGTTTCTGCTACTATAAGAGATGCCAGATGCAACTATGAGAAGCGCATTGCTGCTTTAAAAGATGTAAAATGTTTTTACAAATACGTGCGGTCTTCCTTAGTTGGGCCTGTGAAGACCCCTCACCTAAGAGACGTAAGTGGACGTGTCACTGAGGATAGTCAATTGGTCGCTAATTTGTTTGCGGACACGTTTGCTAAAGTTTTTACAATTGACACAAATTCTAATCTCCCTACTGTACAGACACCCCCAAATTCCACAACTATTACTTCCGTTGAATTCTCTGAGGCAGCAATAGCTAAAAAGATATCTAAACTGCGCATAACCAAATCTCCTGGACCAGATAGCATTACCGTGAGTCTTCTCAAAAAGTGCCAATGTTTGTGCCAACCTTTAAAGATTCTAATGGAGCAGTCATTTGAGTCGGGGACTCTTCCTCTTGAATG